CGATTTCCCGAGCGACCCAAGGTTGGTTGCATCCTGCATGACCTCATATTGTTTATGAGAGTTTTGTGATGTTCTTTCTTTAGAGAAGTTTTGTGATCTTAATTCATGAGACATTTGACGTGATACTATGTGGCTGTAAACGTAATCTGCAATTCAGAGCAAACAGAGTGAACAAACCAAGGACATGCAGGTTAGTCCGTTAGTGTCTTACTTTTCTTTTTGTAATTCTATCGTACTGTATAGTTAGTACAAAATCATCACATATTCAGGATATGTTTACAATTTTGTGAAACTGAAATGTGCAACATGTTCAGTGGACTGGTGAATTATAATTTTGTGAAACTGAAATGTGTTACTGAAACCTGACTGGTGATGAACTAACCGATTCACACAAGGGCTTGCTGATAACAACTTGAGTTGCCGAGTCTCGCCGAGTTGAGCGTGGAGTAGAAGGTGTCGAGTGAACTTGAGTCAGTGTCATTCGCTGTAATGATCGCCCGGGCGGCCTTGTAGCTGTCTCAGATGGAGTTCAGGGGAAAGACCAAGAGGAGGTGTGATAAGATTGAGCTTTCCAGAATTTTGGGGAGGTGGCGCTTGTCGCACTGCAAAACTTTTATTTGTATATGTTGCATGCTACTACCTCCTAATCAATATGTCATTGAAATGAAGTAGATGCAGCTCTTCATAGATATTGTCACATGTTCTGGTTTGCAGGTTAAATATTTGATGCCCTCGTTTTGGTAATGAGAGCAATGCAATATTCTGAAGGTCACACATGTGAGGGAAACTGGCACGTGTCTATCTCTTAAGCTGGAAACTGCAATTTGTGTTCTGAGCTATGAGCTCCAAATAAATTAGTTTTCTCTGTTCTTCAAGTTGTTATCTTATTTTAGGATTGGCATCACTAATAATGCGGAGGGGTTTTTCCGTTCAATAAAATATTAAATCCCAAATTTGTTACCAGTTTCTATAAGTATTGTACTGTTTTGTTAGATTGTTGTTTGCCATTTATATTAATTTCCATTCTTACCCACTTCCTCTGATTGTAGCTCTTTGTGTGAATCGGTTAGTTCATCACCAGTCAGGTTTTTTAAAATTTCAGGTAAGTAAATTGATATGCAATGTACAATCAATTGATGAATTGATAATTTGGTGTAGCATGGAGATCGATCTCATTGGTACATATATTCTTCAGTTGGAATAAGGCAATCTGTGTGTTGTCTATAATCTCACACTTGAGTTTTGAGCACTGTTCTCACCTTCTTTACTTGATAAAAAAATCATTATTCAACTTTGTTCTCTCATGATCACATCGCAAGTTGTATGGATATACTTTAATAATACATTGCCCCAAAAGGTAATTGGCTTTGACGTTCATTCCAGAAGTTAACTCTTTCACCTCATTTTCTTCAAAGGTTGAATTTTCCCTGTATGAAATATATATAAGATAAATAATATGCATTTTGATCGTTCTTAATTTGAATATGCATTTGCGGCCATATATCCTTGCAAGTAAGTGATGTGGATCTATGTGCAAGGAGGATAGGGGCATACGATTTTTTTTCTCCCGTTGCAACGCACGGGCATGTTTCCTAGTCTTCTCTAATATATAAGACTGTAGGGTATTCTCTTACAGTCACTTACAGCTCAAAATAATATATTTCTTGACGGGTAGACTAGACTCTGGTTGACTACGGTCTATACAAGTGCAACCGAAGTGTCCTAAAGTGTTTCTGGTTTGTACCCAGAAAGGTCATCTAAGAAAACCAAACATACATAGGACAACAAGTCTTAGGCCTACATTGACAACACAAAAATGAGTAATAAAAATTCTGAGGATGATAGCTCAAATTGTTTGAAATGAAAATCAACAAAAACAATATTAATTATGTTAAATAGAAGCACAGAAAATGATGATCAATTACTGCATGAAATTTCAGAAGTACCAAATGTTTAAAAAATATGTTCACTGGCAGCATAAAACACAACAACAACAACCAATTTTTTTCACTTACTAACCTTATAATGAGAAAAGGAGCAAAAACTACACAAGACAATTACAAAAAATCCTTAGAAACCTAGGTGCAAACATTTTTTATTTAACAAAAAAGTAAAACTTGAGAACGCAAAAGGGCAAAGTACAATCACAATAAAAAATAAAAAATGCAAAGGAATTAAGAAGTGAGAACACCACCACCACGGTAAAAGAACAAAGAAATACAATTCGTTGTAATCTTTGAAACTATAGATTAGGATAACTAAAATTACCAATGAAGGTTATTGAAAATCAGTAAATGAATATCAACACGCGATCCAGCTATTGAAAAAACCGAATGAAGCCCAAAGGAGTTTAGTTGACTATGAATTAGCAATTCGGTACTTATTTTGCGACAATAATTCAAATCCATTATATTGGTTTATCAGAAGTACAATGCACTGAAACATATTAATAATTACATCGAAGTATATGGACCATCAAACTACCATTGGCACCGCTAGAATGAGCCGCCAACGCGTTAGTTTGACCATAAATTTTTTAATAAATAAAAGGTGCTATATCACAAAAATTTATACCGTGAGAAATCCCTTCCAAATAAAAATTCAATAGTATCTTTTTGTGGCATACGTTTATATTTTGGTAGTCATACTGATGGTCCAAGTTTGCCAAACTCGAACGGAGGAACTAGTTGTCTGTAAAAGCAACTAAATCAAAAATTAATGTAGGGACCTTGTTTCAAAAGAGTATGGCATTTCACATCAAGTCCATGCTGATTCCGCATTTCGCATCAACAGTAAATTTGATTAAAAAAGTATGAAATCTGAAATTTCTTGGCATGAAAAATTCTTGAGTGTTCTAGGGGGTGCAATATTTCTTCGAGAAACTTGACATCCGAAGAGCTCTGGAAAAAAAAGTGGACCAAAATGTCTATTTTTGAAGCTTTCTTGGAGAGTCGATGTTGTTTGTTTTGTCTAGAGCTCCTGAGATGTCATTTCCCTATGAAATTTTGGACCGACCTGCAACAACATCTAAGCATCCTTGTTTTAAAAATAAATTATTTGATTCTCTTTAGAAAACAAAAATATTTTTTAGGGGTTAAACCAAGCTTTATTAAAAAAAATTGATATGCTCTCCTCGTAGCAACCCACCACCGTTCCCTTCTCTGGGCTTCCGTACGTGGACTTGATGTCTGAGCAACAGGCCCATCCCGTCCAGCGGCCCATTTGGGGTACGAGACCCCCCAGTTTTTCTACGTTCCTTTTCGGTTTTCATTTTTTTCTTTTTAATTTTTTCAAATTGTGAAAATCTTGTAAATTCGTGAACATGTTTTAAAATTTGAACTTTTTTGAAATCATGAACAATTTTCAAATTCATGAATATTTTCTGAAAATCACGAAAATATTTTTTACAAGTTAATAAAATAAGTAAATCATGAAAATTTTATGAAATTCATAAAAAAAATTGATATAGTGAAAAACAATCAAATTCGTGAATATTCCTTCAACTGTGAACATTTTTTGAATCAGCAAAAGTTTTTTTGAAATCATGAACATTTTTAATTTGATGAACAATTTTAAAATTCATGAAGGATTTTTTGAAATAGTGAACAATTTTCAAATACGTGGACATTCTTTCAACCGTGAACATTTTTTCTGCATTTTCAAAAGTTTTTTAAAACCATGAACATTTTTCAAATTTGATGAACACATCTTAAATTCATGAACACTTTTTAATTTGAGAAAATGTTTTTGAAATCGTGAACATTTTTTAAATTCGTTCAATTTTATGATATTCTGAATTTCTTTGTTAAAAGTACACATTTTTAAAATTTTGGAACTTTTTTAATCGCGAATTATTCAGATAGAAAACCTAAAACCTGAAAGAGAAAAGAAAAACGAAAAAAATAGAGCGCTCGGGCATGGGCCGCCGGGGAGCGGACGGGTGCACGCTACCGCTCCTCCCAGCACCCGACGCGCCATATAGGAGGTCTCTGCTAGCATGACGCTGTGAGACATCCAGGATTATCTCTAAAAATAGACAATCAAGTGATACATTATTTATTTGATTTACTGAGAAGCAAAACCCACCAGGTGCTGAATAGACACGACAGGACAAAATCTCATATGAAATGCTTGTCTCAACAAATACTAGATCCCAAGGATCATCTTTTGTCTCTTTTGTTTCCATACAACCAATTCCCATCGTATATCGTTGCGATGACCCGACAGCCCAACACGACTCTCATTCATAAGCACGCTGGATATCTAACTAAATGCCATGACAACAGATAGCAGCGCCGATATTGCACATCTCACAGATTCACAGAATGACTATTCTCGCAAAAAGGAAAATAATGAATGCTCTGAAGATAGTTCAGGGAAAAAGAGAATACTCTGAAGATAAACACCTGCCGACCAGTGTAATCCCTTGTGCACTTCAGAGTAGTCTTCATCTTCAGAGTGAAGTGCACTTGCCTTAGCCAATTAGGAGTGTTCACTGCAGTGTAAATGATGAGGTTTACGCAGCCAGTGTAATAATCCCTTGTGTACTTAAACACTACTGGCGGGGAGAGTTAGCGTCGCCCACTATGTAAATGCATGCAACTCTGCATTTTGTCTCAGAAGAACGCATGCCAGTTATTTCAGATAAAGAACAATGCAACTGTTAAAATTTGACTGTAAAATGTAAATTCATCCAACCATATCACACCTAGAGCAGCACATGAGAGACGCTAACCATGATTTCACTAGACAAGCACATCAAGGCTCATACGATTTCTAATTGAGAGGAATTTAAAGTAATACATGCCCCTGGAGCGTCCTCGCTACATTCAGGCTAACGGTGCGCGTCATGCCTCTCTCAAACTCCAGCACTGAGATGGCTCCTTCAGGGGGCTACCTAAACAGCACATCTAAGGACGGGTGCTAGCGAGCGATGGCGGCACTCGGTTACAGACTCAGTCGACGAACGCTGACTTGTAGTGGGGCACCCGGTTACAGGCTTAGTCGACGAACGCTGACTTGTAGTGGAAATCATCGATGGTCGAGTAGATGTGCCCGACATCGACGTGGTAGTCGATAGCCTCCCTGCATATCAGAGGTTAAGCTTTATTAGCCAGCAGCAATACATCATCGTGTGTCCGGGTTCAAGAGAGGTAGAGAGATGGGCTTACTTGATCTTGAGTACTGGTAGCCTGAACCGCTTGGCAATGTCATCCACATGAACGCCATGGTCACTCTCGCTGTAAAATTAACCAGGGTGTTTAGAAAGGATGAAAAATAAATCATCAGTGATGTAAAAATGAAACAATATGCAGAGTTAGGACAGGCAATGGACCAGGCTTTGGTGGCATAGATGCCAAGCAGAAAGACAAGCATCCTACAAGGCAAGGAAAGGAAGGAATGGTGGATGCACAACTCACATGTTTGCCGGTTCACGGAAGACATTCAGCACCTGCGTGTAGAAATCTGTCTCTGATCCGTTTGTTCCACTGGTCACTGGTGCCTGCAGGAATGATTGAAATAAATGATAACTGACACCAGGAGAGTTGTATTGTTTCATCCATTCAAGCATTGCAATCACAGCTTACCAGGTTGGATTTCACAGAGGGTGGAGTGGCCGCTTCGCTCAATCTGTTGGAGAATGGAGTTCCCACAGAAGAATTGGTGTGCGCAGGACTGCCAACCTACAATTAACCATGATTATAACAACCATTTAAACCAGGTATTCTTCTAACAGAGGACAAACACATAGTTCTCATGGGAGTATCCGCATCGAACATTGGTACTACAATGATCAGGAGCATACCTTTGATTTTGTGTTCTCTATGTGCATCCGTACACACTGAATGAAATGCAGCGTGACCTCGTTGTAATCAGTTATAGGCCTGAGATGGAAAAGTTATATCCAGTTAGCAAGCTTCAATACATCAGATCAGTGGAACAAGACCATAATATTTTTGCAAATAAATACCTGACTGCAAAAGCCGTAGCACGCTTCTTGTCCTGAACTCCCTTGAGGCTACCGATGACAGCAACGTACATACCATTCCTTTATTAACAAAAGAAGTATTAGAAAAGGGTGGTGATCCTTCAGAGAGGAAGGCAGTAACTTTCCTCAACAAATAGTGATTGTGTATGCAGGACAAGCAAAAAATGAAGGTTACAAGTAATACGTACTGAATAGCAGCAGTTTCAGCAGAATCTGCAGAATCATTCACCCTGTAAAACATATCAAAATTGACAAAGATGTTAAACTGATACCTATTGCAGACAGCAGATGCTATCAAGTATGATCAGCCTCGAAGCTCTTTTCTAAATCCTAAAATAGTATTACAAATCGTGAGCTTGTAAAAGTACTAAAAGTTGCTGATGGCATAAACTATACTTAACCACAAAGGCCTTCGCAAAACAGGCCAATGTTAGGCTGCTACCATAATGAGCCTAATGACAGCATGTCAGATATTTTATACTATTCCCAACAGCCACATTTTCTTTGCTAATATATCATTAACTAGCAAAAGAAATGTATACTAATATATTAATCTTAGCCAAAGTTAAGGACTGAAAATGTAAGCATTTTACAGTGATCTATCTACCATATGTTAAATGGGTGATTAGTCAGGGATGGTAAGATATTTGCATATTTCCATTATTGGACTGCTTGCACACTGATAAGAGCAACTATATTCCTAGTGAAAACTGAACCTACGGTTTGACAAATCAAACAACAGCCAGCAATGACAACTGAAGCACATGAGATCTTTTATATTCTCAAAGGCAGCAGAAACTATAATAATATCTCATTAGTACATGAATCTCAATAGTACAAATATATTATGCGCCAGGGGTAAGAATTGAAGTGTTTCACAGCAATA